CAATCATGACACAAATACACACACACATGCACACACACACACACACACAGAAATTCTTTCTAATCACTGGGATGATTTTTTTTTTACCACATAGGAACTCAAGATGAATCAGAGATCTTTATGGAAATGCAGTAGTATTACTTCTCTTAAAGCAGGAAAAAAATTCAATAAAATCATACCGCAAAAAGAAACCTAGGTACCACCTGAGCCAGCAGAGCTCTGGTGGGAGGAGATCTTGTAAATTCTCTTCCAAAGCAGGTTAAAGGCCTCCAACATCCCCACCACAGGAGATTGGGGGACTAAGAGGGAAAGGAATATGATACCTACTATGTGTCAGGCACTGTGTGAAGCACTTTACAAATATTATCTCATTAGAGGGGAAAAATCACACCCATGGGGATGCCTGAAGGGAAAAGCTGAGAAAGAACAGATCTACCCATATGAGGGTGAGGGCGAGGGCGAGGGCCAGGGAGTAGCTAATACTCCTCTTCAGCCAAACAACTCAACCCCCTTGGCTCATTAGACAACAAATACGATAAAAGACAAATGCATGCAAAAGCTGTACATGTCTATATGTTTTAGAAACAACGATCCCACCAAGTTAAGATGCAGGAGTTCAGCAAGCCACCATTAACAACACATTATCCTTATGTAAACTTTATCCTAGCAGGGTTAGAATTACTCCAGGAATTGTCACTGAAATTGTTTTTCATTTGGAAATAAACGGTTATGGGTTCAATACCTGTGCTTGTTCTCCTTCCTACTCCCTATATCTATCTCTCTCTTCTTTCTTCCCTCCCTTGAACCGTCTCTCTCTCCTTCCCTCCCTTGTTCTCTCTCTCACTTTCTCTTCTGCACAGGTTTAGCAGCATCCCAGGATTTTTGAATTGTGACGTATACTAATTCGAAGATTATCCATTTTTAAAGGAAGAAGAAATGTTCAGTCCTGGACTTCACTTGTAAAGGGGAGACCGCACCGTTTATCCTGTTGAAAACTCTTCAAATCTCATATACTTTAAGACATTTAGTAAATCTGATGCTTCTATAAGACATCTGGCCCACAAGATAGATTAGGATACTTTCAAGAAACCCGTTCCACATGAATCACACAGAGTGGGAAATAAAGGAATCTGCCATTTGTAATGTACAGTTCCCCTTTTCTGTTACATTTCATTGCAGTAAAACCTGCTTAGCGGAGTTAGGTCACATGTTACAGCCTGAAACTTGCAAGCACATTTACTCTTTGATTTAGGTTCAATTTCAGGTTCTAATTCACCTTGGATAATTTTTTTCTTTTCCAGTCAACATCATACAAATCCTCAGCCTTAGCCTTTTTCTCAGTTGCTAACATCTCTATCAGAAACCAGCTTTATTAGAGGTGGGAGAAGTAGATCTGAGATATTCTTCACTTGAATGATGATACATGCCTATACATTTTCCCTTAAGTCTCAGTCGGATTACAAGATTGGCCATTACTGCTGCCTTTGCTTAGGAGGGGAGATATTCCCAAGTTAGGCAGGAAAACATGAGGTCCTAATTTTTTCCCTTATATCCACAGCAACCAGAGAAAATGCTCTCCATTTCCAATCCTCATGCTTGTAAATGGATAGGGGTTCTCTGCTCTACATTAACGATCCCCATTTTAATGATCTGAGGAATGGTAGGGAGCAAAGTGCTTATAAGCCAGAGAGAACCACACAGATACAGCAAAACCTTATTATAGATCCTATCAACCTTAGGATTTGAAATTACTATAAAATTGCCTTCACCTCCTCCTGAACCCAAAAAGATTAATGATATAGTACTGAAAAGAACCTATCTGCTACAGGAGGGTCATAATTAATTCCAAAGTGGCTTATCATGGATGGATGGCAACATATCACAAATAGCTTGGGGAATACACCTTTGGAATTTCAACATACATACCCATTACTGAGACATCATATTCTATCACCAGTGTTGCTTCCTGCCCACACTGTTTGAGAATACTCATTGCTTCAGCATGTGTGTTACCAGCAAGTCTGATTCCATCCACACTCAGCAGCCTGTCACCAGCTTTGATTGTGCCTTCTCTAAAGGAGGATTAAAGTAACAGTCTTTATTAATTTAACATAATGGGGTTGGGCATTAATTCACTTATTTAAAGCCGTCATCTCACGTACTTTCTGCCATCAATCCCATTTGCATTTATTTTAAAGCATCAATTCTGACAATAACAATATTAAGCACTATCAGGGGAAGGTGAAATTGCTATTATTTAAAGCTCTGAAAAGAGAAGAATAATAACTACACATTATCAAATAGCCAAGTTATTAATAGATAACATTTGGACCATCCAAAGAATATTTTTCCTCCTTTTAGCTTGACTGCCTGGCGTCTGGAAATGATTTATGGTAAGCCTGAGAAATAAACACTCACCTACCTGCCCAGGGGAAGTGAGCAGGAAAGAGTGCAGATTTGATTCCTTTGACTACCAGTGAACCTAAGTAGGATAGGGAAAGATGCTTAAAAATTTCCCTGGGCTGCAAATTTCCCTACTGTTTTATAGTGCCATTTGGCAATCAATAAATTAAATTCAGTCTTATGTAGCTGGGGGGAAGGGAGCAAATATTCTCATCCTAATTTAAATGTTCCATATCTGCCAGTATTAGGGAAAGACCCTTCAATAACATTGCTGAGAATAGCACTCAGGTTAGCATCTGGTATCAAATCCTATCCCGAGTGACAGAACAAATAAGATGTGAGGATCTGGTAAGTTGATGTATTTCTAGAGAAAATGTCAAATGTAAAAATCTATGAAGAATGAAAAAGGGGTCTTCACAGTTTCCATTTAGATAATTCTCACCTTCTCTTCTTGGCATTTGATATTTCATTTTTAAAACGGTAGATGATTAGATTTCTTTCAGGTCTTTAATCTAATATCTCTCAGAATACAAGGCAATGCTAGTTTGCACACAGCTTAGCAGTTAATCTTCCTTTTGTGCCCAACCCAACTTGGAATGGCAAAAGGATATAGTAGTATTCTCATTTTTTCCAGGAAAAATTTTTTCATATTATACATATATATATATAAAATATATATATATATGTGTGTGTGTGTGTGGATATGTGTATGTATGTATATATACACATAAAATATATATACATATGTACACATATATTATATATAAATATATATTATATCTCAAAAAGGAAGGAGGCAAAGAGAAAACAGATAAATCTATACTCAAATATTGGACTGTGATACCTGTCAAAGGTGAACATTTCTCACAAGACAGAAGTCAGAATTTTTTTTTGTTTTTTTTCATTCCTTAAAGCAAACAAACAAAAACCTCCCTATTTTGTTTCTTCCCCAATTCATTTTTGTTTAAAATGTCACTTCACATCTATGCTGGGGTAAAAAAATCAGTTTGTATATATAACTGTTAATCAGCAAACTTCTTTCCTATTAATTCCATAATATCCATCTCATAGACTCATTCAAAGTCATAGATGACAGTTTGCTGATCTGGGTGGCAACAAACAGAAACAAACATTTGTTCCTTAAGAAGAAAGCAAATTGTTGTAATTTAAATATCTTAGTTATCTCCAAGGCTTATTATGAAAAGGCTGCATGAGTTGTCTTTTTAAACACAGAAAAGGGCACAAGCATTCTGTACTTAAAAAAAAAAAACATGCATACATCACACTCTTCTAATGCAGTCTTACAAATAAACATAAAATTCTAAATTTGCAAATTTGTTTATCTTAAACCCTGTAAGAAATTTATCAACTTCTATGCCAAATGATCTACCTCATTCTCGCTACCTATCTATCTAGATAGCTACAGAAAAAGATGAATTTTACCTGTCAGCAGGCCCTCCAGGTCGAACACATGTTATTACAACAGGACGAGATTTATTTCTGTCATCATGTGCTCCACCTAAGAAAGAAAAAGAACAAAATGGTTTTTAAAAAGTTTTCACTTTTATGGCTTTTAGAGTTCATTTCCAATATGCAAGCTGAAAATGGAAGTATGTATTTGGGAAGATGAACTGTTTTGAAGCTGTTTAAAAAAAATGAAATGTGATGAGAATTACGCTGTCAAACCCAAGTGCTGTATTGGTTGGTTTGACTAAGAAGATTTGGTTTCCCTTCCTCTCTTTTTTATTCTTATAGCTCTCTGGGTGAGGTAGGGATGTATTGGGAAATAAGTGATGATTTGAGAAAAATTGCTAGGAAAATTGCAAAGCAGTCTGGCGGAAATTAGGCATAAGACCAACATCTCACACCACATGCCAAAACAGGGTCTAAATGGATACGTTACTTAGACATAAAGGGGGACATTATTAAAAAATTAGAGAACCAAGGAAGAATTTACCTTTTGGATCTACAGATAGAGAATGGGTTCACGATCAAACAATGGATAGAACAAATCACAGAAGACAAAACAGATAATTTTGATTAAACAATATAAGAAAGTTTTGCACAAGTAAAAGAATGTAGTAACAATTAGTTGGAAAAATCTTTGCAACAAATTCCTTTGATAAAGAGTGTCTCTCTCTCTCTCTCTATCTCTTAGAGAGAGACAGAGAGAGAGAGAGAGAGAGAGAGAGAGAGAGAGGTATGAGAGTCACTAAAGCATCTTTACACATACACATATATGTGTAAATTCAATTTTATAAGAACAAGAGCCATTTCCAAATAGATATGTAGTCAAAAGAAATAGTTTTTCAAGGAAGAAATCCATGCTAATCCCTAATGAGAAATGCAAATTAAAGCAACTCAGAGGTTCTATTTCATGCCACTCAGACTGACAAAGCTGACAAAAATGGGAAATAACAAATGTTGGAGGGATTATAGAAAAATAGGCAATCTCATGAACTGTTTGTAGAGCTGTGAGTTTTCCTAGACATTCTGGAAAGCAATTTGGAAATATTCCCCAAAAGTCCCTAAACTATGCATATCCTTGGACCCTACAATACCACCAAGAGAAGCCTATATCTCAAAGAGATCAAAGAAAGAAGAAAAGGATCCATATATATAAAAATTCCTTTAGGAGCTCTTATCATAGTGGCAAAGAACTGGAAAGTATGAGATGCCCATCTACTGTAGAACAAGAGAACAAATTATTGTATAAGAATGTAATGGAGTATTATTGTGCCCTATGAATTGCTGAAATGGATGGTTTCACAGAAACCTGTAAATACCTATATGAACTGATGAAGAATGATGAATTAGAACTGACAATAATTTATACAATAACAACATTATTACTTAAACAAACAAGTCTCTGAAAGACTTTATCAATGCGAAGATCAATCACAATTCCAAAAGACCAGCGAGAATTATGGCACCCACTTCTTTACAGAGTGGTGAGAAGCTCAAGATGCAGAATAAGACATACTTTTTAGATATAGCCAATGTAGTTGTTTGTTTTCCTAGAATATGTATATGTTACAAGAGATTTATTTATTTATTTATATTTATTTTCTTTCTTTTTTTCCTTGATGGGGAGGGGAGAGAAGGATGAGTGCATAGTGTAGGAGGGAGGGAGAGAGAGAGAGAAGGGTAGGGGAGGAAAGGGAGAAAGAGAGAGAAAGGGAGGGAAGGGAAGGGAGGGGAAAAGGGACAGGAAGAGGGGGAGGGGGAGAGAGAGAAAAGAAAGAGGAGAAGGAGAAGGAGGGAGAGAGAAAAAAGAGGAGAAGGAGGAAGAGGAGGGGGAAGGGGAGAGAGAGAGGTCATTGAGACATCTTCTATTTAAAAAAAAAAAGCTGATAAGAAGAAAGTCCAGAAAGCCAGCTTTCAAATCTAATTTATCCTATTTTTAAAAAGAAAAACAAACTGTATACAATAGCAATCTTGAGTTTCATGTACAATCCTCTTTTTTAATGTGTATAGAAATGATGTCCATTTTATTGATTGTTATATTCACAACAAAAATAAATATATTTTTATAAAGTTGGTGATACAAAAAGATATCAACATTTACACAGAGTAATCAAAAATTAAATCATATTAAGATAAATAATATATTGTATATAATAAGAAAAACACATTTAAAAAAAATTTCCCCAAGATTGTTAGAGTTAGAAGAGAATTTAGAAGCCATCAGGTAAAACCTCCTACCTGATGTGATAATTCTGCAATATCCTGGAGAAACGTTCTACCACCTTAGCTTAAATACAATCAGCAATGGGGAGCCGATTAATTTGTTCCTTGCTTAAGGTCACAAAACAAGTTAATAGTAAAGCTGGTACTGGAAATCAGGTCTCTTGATTCCTAGGCCAGGGATTTTCCTCTGTCTAATCACAGTGTCTCACAGGTGTTAAAGTTCGGTGCAAACTCTGCACCTAGAATTATATGTTAGATGAACATCTGTTGGGTTTTTTTTTAAATTACAAAGCATTTACTACTTTTGGTGAAAATGTGTCACTTATATCATGCATCTTGTTCATCTTCATTTTTGAAGAGGACCAATGACATCACAGGGTGATGTCTTGACTCACATGTGAATTGTATTTAAGTAAAACAGAGTCACACAAAGTTGCGGTCTCAGTAATACAAGAAAACCTGAGTTATGACTACTGAAATCATCTCAAGGTTTGGGGGAAATTTTTGTTCTGCTAAGACAACCTTGCTATAGGTGTCCAAAGGCCTACAATGAAATCTTTCTACTCAGTATCTAAATGAAAGTAGATGTGGCACAGTGGATGGTGAACTGATCATGGAGTCAAGAAGACATTTGTTCAAGTCCTCTGTCATATAGTGGCTGAGGGACAATGGACATGCCACTTAACCTCTCATAAAAGATATTCCCTTTGTGGACAAATTGAGACCCACTTCCCTCCCCCCACCCCTGCCAAGCAAATTTCCTAAAATAATTTGATGAGAAATCCTATTCTCACAATAATAATTACAACAGTAATGTAGACCCATCTTTAAGGGTGGAAATCACTACCACCAAATATAAAATGCTTTGGGTTAGAAATTATACTGAAGTGGCACAATTGCTTATTTTTATAATTCTATCTTGGCCAAGTTGAATCAGTTTGAAATCTGTATTATTATTAATATCCTTGGGAGATTACGATAAGAATGGGCAAAATTTAAATCTAAATACATTCACTTGAAATCTGATCCAGTAGAAGACCAAAAATTAATCTTCAATTAGTTTATAGAAAATCATGATAATAAAAATGAATTTGAAAAGGAATGAAATTATGTAAGGTGGCTTAATCTCTAAGATATTAACCTAAGTTGGAGCCACAGTGAGGCTATTCATAGATATTATTCTGTTAAAAAAAAAAAGTAGACCATGGCTAGATGGTTGGAAGGAGGATGGAGGGAGAGAATAAAGATTTATATAGCACCTACTATGTGCCAGGAACTGTGCTAAGTGCTTTACAAATATTATCTCACTTGAGCCTTGCAACAATCCTGCAAGATAGGTACTGTTATTGTCCTCATTTTATAGCTGAGGAAACTGAGGTAACAGAAGTTAAGCGACTTGCCCAGCCCTGAGGCTGGGTCTGAATTCAGGTCTTCCTCACTCCAGGCTCAGCACTCTACCCACTGCAACCCCAGGTGCCTAAACAGGATGAAATCATGGTACAGAAGAGTAATTTTTTTTAATGTACTTTTGCACATTGAGGTCTTTAAAAAAAAAACCCAGAATTTTATTGATATCTTTTGTTTTTATAGGTTTTTTTATTTTTAAGAAAAATTTTATTTTTTAAGAAAAAGGAGCATACTGAATTTTATTTTTTAAGAAAAAAAGAGCATACTAAGTCTCCAGGGTGGTTGGGGAACCGGACACATCACACCTGGATAACTGATTGCAAATCCACCGCCTCTACTTTGTCGGATTGGCCCATCATTCAACTTTCCCCAATAATGACATACCTCGTATCACAAAACCAAAAGTGTTGCCTTCTTTATGTAAAGTAACCTCTGCCGTTCGGAACACAACGCCAGATCCTTGTACAGCTGAGGAAAAAAACAGCAAAAAATAAATGTGAAATCAGGCGGGAAGCTTGGCCAAAGCACTGTATATTATCATTCATAGAATAAAATGATAATTTTAAAGTGTAACATGAAATACTCCATATCCCGATTTCAAACAAACATTTGAGTGATTTTTAAGAATCAAATGCACCCAAATGAAGCAACAGTGTATAATGGATGTGACCCTGGATTCAATGTCTGAAGATCTAGGTTCTGATCCAGGTTCTGATACTAATCTGGTTTGTGACCCCGGTAAAGTATGTTACTTGCACTTTCTTGCTGCGTATAATCAGGAAGGTGGACTTTAGAATCTCTAAAATCCTTTTCAGATCTAATAATCTACCATCCTATATAAAAGCACTGAAATTATATAGAAAGTGGGGGGAGTCACATTCTCACTAAATGTTATAAATTGAGTTGGAACTAAAATGACAGCTCTTTTTATACATATAATTCAGTTGGCAAGGGGAGAATAATTGGGAATCTTGGCTTTTTAAAAATGATAACAAAGATCTTTCACAAATATAAGTAGCAAATTGGTTTCCCTTAAAAAATATGCCAAACTGGTGGTTTATGAGAAGAATAAAATTTCTGAGTCCCAGAACATAATTTATTTTTTGTATGTTTGCCCAGTTGGCAGAGCAGGAGGACACGATTGTCAGAATTCCATTGGCATCGCTTGATTAGGCTGTTGGACAAAGATGTTTTGACACGATATGTTTTCTGCCTAAATCGACACTGCTGTTAAACAAAGCAAGAGAGCTATGGAGATAAAATTGGCAGGTGAAAAAATAATTGGAGCTGAGAAAGCCATGATTAATTTGATGAGATATCACCATGCTTATTCCATTTTTGCAGGACTTGGTGCGATTGTTTCAAATGATGAAATTGTTAGATCGTTGCAAAAAGAAACTTTGAAATAGTCTGTAGAACAAAGGCAGAGAACTTTACAGCAGTTCTGATGTATTTGCACACATACATAATTTTTTGATAGAAAAATGCAGAAATGTATGTATTTTATAGCTGCAAAATGTGTGTTAATATCACCAGAATCTAATAGCTTTACTACATAAAACTGTCATCATGAGATTAGGGAATATTGCAAAAGGGCATTACTAATTATTTACAGGAACAGCAAGTAGTTATAATTAAGCATTAATGACAAAATTTTTAAATGTCAGGAATTCCAAATACTTAAAGGATTGACCATGGTTCTGGAAGGTCACATAATTCAATTTATAAAACTTGCATCCTATCTGGTCATGGTCTAAAACAAACACACACAAAAAATACTTGGATCAAAAGCAAAATAATATAAAGTAACAGCCAAGCAAATGTTTTCAGTACCTCACTGATTTAATTAAACGCTCTATTCCTGCCACAACACAAATTTCATTTTGTTCTAATCAGCTGGAAACTGTAGGCATGAGAAGCTGTGAATGTGGGACTATGGTTTTAATTAAAAGAAAAGGAAGACATGTCCTCTCATTTGTATGACACACCAGGGTCCTTGACGAAATTAGTCAAGAATGTTTTGACCTTTCCATTCTTTAAATTTAAATCATTAAGTCAATTTTCAATTAATTACGTGTAGCTCACCTGGAACCCATTTTAATCTTAGATTAGTTTCTTTCTGCCAGTACATCTCTGCTCAGAGATTAGCTTAAGTAAATATGGATTAGAAAGATTAGAAATCAAAATCTCACAATCTCACATGTCATTCCTAGACCACATATAAATGCATTGGTGGTTTCCCATTTTCTTAGATTATTCATATCATTGTTAGTACAAGTAATCAAGGGTTAACTTAATTTTAGTTGAATTCATGAATCTTTAAAAAAAAATTAAGTTGCATGACTTCTCTCTGGATGGCTGTGCATTTATACTTTGTATGCATGAAATGAAAAGCATTGCATAATTACTTTATTTACATATACATCTGAGTACAAGGTACACTTAAGTGGTTTGCCTAAAGAATCAAAATTAGCCATTGGAAGGGTGCTAAGGTTAGAACGTTATCTCTGGTAATTTAGGAAACATAATCAGGATCAAAGCCCACTAACCTGTGACTTTTTATTTTTGTATGATGATTGACATCTGCCATCAATCAGTCAAAAAGTATTTATTAAGCATTTGTTATGTGTTAGGCAATGTGCTAAGTGCTAGGGATACAAAGAAAGGCAAAAAACAGTTCCTTCAAAAAGCTTATATTCTAGTGGGAGAGGACACAAAATAATAAGGTATTTGCAAGACATACATAGAGAATAGATAGAAAGTTATCATGGAGGAGAAGGCTTTAGGAGCTGGGAGGACTGCAACGGTTTTTTTTCTTGTATTTTATAATTCCATCTTTTTGGACAATTTGACCTCATTCCTGGGGTTGGTTCACCATCAAAGAACTGTGGGCTTCTTAGCTTTGGTTACTTTTGCTCTGATTTAATGACTGGCACCCTCCTTCAGTTTTCTGATGACATCTAAGCCTAGTAAATAAAAGGACCTGTATTTTTTTCTCTACCTCTTCGCCCTCAGAGGTCTAAATTTCTTTTTACCACATAAGAAATGATCATGAAAAATAGCTAAATAGTGGGGGGATGCATCTGAAAGAATAAAAGCCTTTGTCTTTTTTTTTTTGTAATTCGTATTATACTTTTTTTTATATGTGCCTTATTCTTCCCTCTAGGGTTGGGGAACCTGCAGCCACAAGGCCACATGTGGCCCTTTGACTGAATAGGATCATGAGTGAGGACCTCGAGGGTCACATGAGGAATCTGAGGCATTAACAATGGGAAAAAAATGAGAAGTAACATAGGATTGAAGATAAGAATAAAACACATCAACTTTTAAACTTCTCAACTAAACATGGGAGCAGGACAAATATGGTTTTTTTTTTTTTTGGCTAGGCAATGGGGTTAAGTGACTTGTCCAGGGTCACACAACTAGTAAGTGTTATGTGTCTGAGGTCAGATTTGAACCCAGGTCCTCCTGAATCCAGGGCTGGTGATCTATCCACTGTGCCACTTTGCTGCCCCGGAACAGGACAAATATGAAGCAGGAGCCAGGACCTTGCCTGCTTTGTTTACTACTCATACTGCATAATTTAACAAAAGCTGCTCAAGAGCCAATTAAAAACCTCTTGGAAATGATCTGACCTATGCTTACCTCTATTCTATAAAGAGAGTACCTAGCATGTGCTTGGTGCATAGTAGGTGCTGCATAAAATATTAACATATGTCCTTAATGGAATGGCATCCTAGTCATTTCATTACTGCTTGCTAGTTGGACTAATTTTTACTTAAAAGGCACTGATTTTGATAAATAAAATCATTATGAAATAATAAGGAACTAACCATGCCTATGAAGAGGCACTGATGGCAGAAGTGAAGACTTAAAATTGCTTTAGAAAGAGAGGTCCCTAGGGCAATTAGGTGGCGCAGTGGATAGAGCACCAGCCCTGAAGTCAGGAGGACCTGAGGTCAAATCTGGCCTCAGACCAAACACTTGACACGTAGTAGCTGTGTGACCCCGGGCAAGTCACTTAACCCCAACTGCCTAAAAAAGAAAAAAAAAAAACAGATATCGCTCAGGAATGGAATGACTTACAGATGGGTGGGAGCTCATACTCCACTTCGAGGATGACCCTTTCCCCAACGTTCTTCAGCAGACTGATGATCTCATCATGGCGGAATTTGGTGAGGTTGATTCCATTCACGGCTTTGATGTAGTCTCCCACGTCTAACTGATCGCTTCTGCAAAATACAGATTTTGTGTTTGTCAGTAATTATTCTCTTCATTCAGAAGACTCACTTTACCCTCCCTCCCTCACCCAATCCAACATTCTTTTCATTAACAAACATATAAGCATTGATACCTGAGTTGGCTAAACCAAATCACCATATTAACCCCTTCATATGAAATGATGTATAGAGGAGTTCCCAGGCTAATAATAACAATAATGAGGAGCATTTATATAGTGCTCTAAGGCTTACAAAGTACCTATAGGAGCTCATTGGATCCTTACTACAGCTCTAGGAGGTAGCTGTTATAATTATCCCCATTTTCCAGATGAAGAAACTGAGGCTGAGATATTAAGTGACTTGCCCAAGGTCACAAAATTAACAAGAATCTGAGGCAGGATTTGAACTCAGGTTTTCCTGACTCCCAAGACTAACACTCTATACACTTTGCCACCACAAAAAGAGCTGCTATAAATATTTTTGCACATGTGGGTCCTTTTCCCATTTTTATGATCTCCTTGGGATACAGCCCTAGAAGTGGAATTGCTGGGTCAAAGGAAAAGTTAGAACTCTTGCTGGAACTCTCCTTCCTTTTTCTTTTTTTTTGGGGGGGGGTAAGGCAATTGGGGTTAAGTGACTTGCCCAGGGTCACACTGCTAGTGAGTGTTATGTGTCCGAGGCCAGATTTCAACTCAGGTCCTGACTCCAGGGCCAGTGTTCTATCCACAGCGCCACCTAGCTGCCCCTTCTTCCTTCTTTTAAACTACAACTGACATGACTTTCTGGACATTCAGGGACACTAGAACTCTCCCTAGATCAAAGGAAGGAACATGGAGCATAAAAATTCTTTTTTTAGGTTTTGGATTTTTGTCTTCTACCATTCCTAGGGATAGTTATTTTCAAGCCGTATGTCTGTTTTTTCTTTTCAATGCCTTTTTAAAAAATTCTTTTAAAATTTCTTTTTAAATATCCCATTTACATTTTTAAATGTCCTATTTAAATTGATATTACCCAAACTTACCCCCTCCCCGCCACAAAAGGAAAGCAATGTCACTCTCCACCTGCAGCCTATTTCTGGTGCAATGACTTATTTGGAAGCTTGCTGAACAAATTTGTCAAAATTAGAAGTTATGAGCAACTGGTGACTCTTGAAATAACTTTGAAAGATTTTGCTGGTCCTTCTGGCTTAGCCCAGGGCCACCTTGTGAGAGAGAGAGGAGTGGGAGACCTCCAAAGATATGCCCTGCTGTGTTTCTGCTCTGATGTGCTGCCTTGCAGATGGTGGTCGTCATTTATTTATCAGTGACCTTTTTGATGAGTTTTTCATTTCTGAAGCCAGCTTACCCACTATAACTTTTGGGGGGGGGGAAGGGTGATTCTAGCCATGGTTACCTGGCAGCAATTCCACCTTGCCGAAGGTTAGATACTCTTGGTTTTCCATCCTTGTCAATTCCACCCGACACTGTAAGCCCTAGGGTAGTACCTTCTTTCTTCATTAATTCCACAACCGTGGAACCTTTGAATTCCTCTGTTAAAAGAAAATTATTTATTTTTATTAAATGCAAATAGGACTATATATGCTTTGTGTGTGAGTGTATTTAGGGACTAGCTCTCCCCAACTTATCTTATCACCCTATCCACCCCACCATCAAATTATCTTACATTTTTATGGGGAAAAAGTATCTGTGGGCTCTTTCCATTACAATTCACAGTCTACATCATAAAAATCTGCATGAGAATAAATCTGAAGCAGATATTCCATTAAAAGTTATTAAAATGGGCACCAGTGGGGTAGTTCGCTCTGGGTTACCAATAAATAGTCTGGCTTGGCTTATGCACAAAAGACAATTTTTTCTCTTTGTTCTTTGTCACTCTCAAGTGATCTTTTTATAGAACACTATATCTTAACAACAACAAATAAATTGGGAAGGAAGAATTGAATTATAACACTGTAGATGAATGGGGTTCTTTAGAGGACAAAATCCCACAAAGGCCCAGTTTCAAGGTGCCTGGACTTACAAGGTTCTGAAGTAATATGAGGCATGCTGGGGTATAGGGAAGGTAATGTGATTGCCTCGAGGGGAAGGCGCCTCCTGCTTGAACCATGACATAAACAAGGCATGGCTTCAGCAGCTCTCAGTAGACAGTTCTCTACACGATTGCAGATCAATACGATTACCAACAGCCTATCCCACATCTTGGCTGCTGACATTTACTTTCATTTATTGAAGAATGCAGACAGAATTCCCTTTAAATCACAACAGTGACTCAAATCATGGATGACAGAATGTCTCATAACATGACATATGATATGGCCGGATTTGTGGTTGAATCCTTGGATAACTACCTTAGGTCTTCTGGTCACGGCTTTCATAGACTCATAGAATACTAGACTTTGAAGCTGGAGGAACCTTAATGAGGTCTGTATGACTATCAGTTAAATGAACTGAGGATGTTTAGCCTAGAGAAGAGAACACCTGGAGGGGGGAGAGGGAGAGAGACACAGTAGTTGTCTTCAAATATTTAAAAGAAGGAATCCTGGGAAAATGGTGGAATAAAATGTATCTTAGGGGGAAGCTTTTCCCTGGCCACACCAAATAATTTAAAATGCTCCTAAATCTAGAAAATTCCACACTGCTGGGAAGGAGAAAAGTGAAAGAACTTGTCGTGCATGTAATTCTAATTGAAAAAGACAATACCAATTCATCAACCTTTTTTCCCCTGGTGCTCCCACAGCATCCTTGGCCTCCCCCTCACTTCCACAGTCCTCATGCTGGCTCAGAGCGACCCTTTGTGGTAATTTTAGCCAACGTCTTTCAGAGCAAACCTTTTGGCAGTTTCCTAGATGGGCCCCTATTCCCAGAGTGGGTAGAGGTGTCATTGTTCCTAACATTCCTGCCTCCAGTTTTCACCATTTCCCACAGTCTGTGTGCTAGGCCAAAGATCCTTGTGGCAAAGGCAAGTTTAGACATCCTACTTCTGCAGGTACTCCCCAGGCCATGTCCTAGATAGAATCCTACTCTCAAGACCAGTTGAGGTCTATGAATCAGAACAACCCTGAGATTCAATAAGTCAATCAAGTCACATCATAGTATAAATTTTACTAAGTGCCTGCTATGTGCCATGCACAGGGGATACAAAGAAAGGCAAAGATAGCTCCTGCCTTCAAGAAACTTACCATTTAATCAAATCTAACATTGATCTAATTGCAACAATATGTAAGCACCTATGTACAAACAAGATACGTAGAGGATAAACTGGAGACAATCAAGAAAAGGAAGGCACTAGTAGTAAGGGGAATTGGGAAAGGCTTCCTGTAAGAGGTGGAATTTTAGCTGACACTAGAAAAAAGTCAGAAAGCAGAGACCAGAAAGGAGAAAAAGAAGGCATAGGGAACAGCCTATCGAAATGTAGAGCTGGAAGATGAAGCATCTTGTAGGAGTAACACAAGGAAGCCGGTGTCACTAAATCATCAAGGGCAGTAAGGTGTAAGAAGACTGCAAGGGTAGGTGGGGCCAGTTATAAAGAGCTTTAAATGTCAGACAGAAGATTTCCTATTTGATTCTGGAGGTTTAAGAGAGAGCCACTGGAGTTTGCTGGAGGAGGGCGACATGTTTGGACTTGTACTTTAGGAAGAATTCTTTAGTGGTTGAATCTCCACTGTCCGATCAGAATCTCCCTGTAACAGTGTTTTATGGGTTATCCTCATTATCTGGGGGAAATAGTTAAAACAAAGCCAAAAACAAAGCGTGGGCCAGGGGGAGAGTAGCAATGGCTATGGAAGGAAAAGAATTGGAGATAAGTATTTTTTTTTTCAGCAAGAACACCACAGAAATATCAAAATAGTGATTAAGGCAGACAAAAGCTGGCTAAGGAGGATGAATGAACAAAGATTCAAAGAAAGAAGGCACTTCAACATATATCACAATAAAATAAAATGATTCAAAATCCTCTAAGGTTGGTGAAAATATCACAACAAACTCTGCAATGTCCCTTGAAACAAAAGTTAAGTTCCCTCCCCATCCCCCACAACTACCACCACTAAGAATCTCCAGGATGGCTCAGAAGTGCAAAGCGTTGTTCAACAATATTAAAGAAATACGATAGAAATGAGCACTCCAACCAAAGACCAAAGAATTTAAAACAAAAAACAGAGATGCACTCCGTAACAGTAGATTCCCTGAAAGACTATAAGAAATCTGGTTCTCTTTGATTGGCCATTTTTTGCCTCATTTCTTACCTAGCCGGAATCACTGAATGGGTGTTGCCTCAGTCAAACTGAGACCTGAGAAAGACCTTCGCTTAAAAAGGCCAAGGTCTCCCACTGCATCTGGGGCAATCTCCAGTCATCCTGATCTATATCTTGCCACTAGACTCAGATGTCTCTGAAGGAGAGACTGAGGCTGGTGACTTTGCACAGCTCTCCCTCACTTAAATCCAATTCATTTGCAAGTCATGACATCACCTTCCTGATGTCATGGTCCTCTTTAAGAACGAAGGACAAACAACGCATATAGAATTGGAATGTGAAAATGAAACATTAAAGGAAATAATGGAACAAGATTAACATAAGGATTATAATTTTTTCCAGAAAAAAATTACAAAAAAGAAAATCTTAATACAGTACTTGAGGAAATCATGTAGAAAAAAATGTCCATAAATACTGGGAGCACATGGAAAAATTCAACAGAATCTACAGAACATTGATAATCAATAAGTATTAACTATCTATCAGAACTGTGCTAGGCAATAGAGATATGATTACAAAGAACAGCTTACATTCTAATAGGGGACATATAACAAGTACATATAAAATGAATAAATATAACTATATACAAAGTAATTAATTATAAGGTAATTTAGGAGGAGAGGCACTATAAGAAGGGAGATCAGGAAGGTTTCACATAGAAGATAATGTCTGAGCTGTATATAAAGAGAAGAGAGGAACTATGTGAAACAGAAGTAGGAAGATGTGTATTTCATGCATGGGGGGCAGCTACTGCATGCTGACCAGGGATGGAGTGACATGTTTGAGGGACATAGTGAAGGCCAATTTGGCCAGTTTATAATGTGTGGGATAGGGGGTATTGTCCATCGCCACTGGAAAGAGAAAGTTGGGGTCAGGATGTGCAGGTCATTAAGGACTAAATAAAGAAGTTTGTATTTTATCCTAGCGGCAATAGGGACTTTGTAGAGTTGGCAAGTAGGGGAATCACATAATTATATCTATTCATCAGGAAAATTCCTTTTCCAGCAGTATACAGGATGCACTACAGTAGTGAGCTACTTCAGGCTGGGAGACCAAATAATATTGCTGCAACAATAGATTATACAGATTGCTGCAACAATCTGGGTAAGAAGTAATAAGGGCCTGAACTAAGGTTGTAGCTCCTAGAGTAGAGAAAAGGGGTTGGATACAAGAAATGTCACGAAGGGAGATATGACAAGGTTTGTAAATGAATGGATAAATGTTGTAAGGATGAATGAGCAGACCTGGATAAAGCCAAGATTACAAACCTGGGAGACATAAAGCTGGTGATGTCTTCATCAGAAATGGGAAGTATGGAAGAGGGGAGGAAAAATAATGAGTCCAGTTTTGGATATACTGGGTTTAAGATGTCTTCTGGATATTGAACTTGAAAATGTCCAAAAGAAAACTGATGATCCAGGAATGAAGCACAGGGAAGAGACTGGGATGGCTGGATATACAAATCTGGGAGCCATTTGCATGGCAATGATAGCTAATGGGATCTGATGAAGTTACTAAAAGTATAGAGGGAGAAAAAAGGACCTAGGACAGAAGCTTAGGGAATACCCACAGTTAGGGGGTATGATGTGGATGATGAGCCAGCAAAGGGAACTGAGGCACAGTCAGAAAAGTAGGAGATGGACCAGGTAATAGTAGTGTCATAAAAATCCAGAAAGAAGAAAAATAGTCAAGAGAAGAGTGGTCAGAAGTGCCAAAAGCAGCAGAGAGGTTGAGAAGGACAAGGACTGGTAAAGATCATTACATTTGGCAATTAAGAAATGAGTGGTAACTTTAGAAACAGTAGTTTCTACAGTAGTCAGGAGCCAGATAGCAATGGGTTAAAGAAGAGAAGGGGGGGGGAATGGGGTGAGGAAGAGAAGAGAAAATGAAGGCAACTAGTATAGACAACTAGTGTACAGAAATTTATTGAGGAGTTGGCCAAGAAAGGGAGAAGAGACAGGATGATAACTGAAAGTTTTTTAAGGTTGGGGGTGGGGGGATTTGGGTGTATTTGAAAGCAGTAGTGAAGGAACAAGTTTATTGGGAGAGCTTGAAGATTTGTGGGGGGAGGGTTTGACTAAGGATGCAGTTTACTGGAGAATATGGGAGGAGGAGGGATTAGATCAAACGCATACCTTGGCAAGGAGAAGGACCACCTTCTTGTCAGAGACTGGATGACAGAAACCCCAAGTTTACTTCACCAAGAAATATAGTCAAATGTGTCAACTCACAACATCACTGAACAAATTTCACAGATGTGTTTGCATATATACGTATGC